GTCTCTACAAAAAATCCACTCATTTGGTGTTATAAGCAAAGGAACTTAGAATTGTAAATTGCACCTCCCACATTAAAAAAGTTCAAATCCCAGGATGGAGTTATTAATGTAATAGATTGAAAATTCACAACACATTGACATTTGACCCCTGGATGTCTGTGAGGTTAACCTGCCAGTAGGTTTAATTAATAATTTATTAAATAATTAATGACACTTCTGGCACTCCATTTTTTTTATTATAAAGCTGTAAATATATAAAAATAAAGTGAATTAAAGATATTTTAGAAAGATAAGAAAATCAATTTATGCATTATATCATAATAAGCAGATAGTTTTGATTTTACTAACTGGGGGCACAGCAGAGGGTCAAAGTTTTACATGTATAAAAATATACATATATGAAACATCTTGGAATTATCTGCTGCTGAAGATCAGTAAAACAATGATTAATCACATTATTAAAGAAGCATCCTCAGGTCGTGTAGATTCACATTTGTTCGAATTAATGTTGGGTGGACTGGGGCCATAATGAGGGATCAGATTTGTACATAGGAATACATAAGGGAAAAATCTTTTAAAATTCTTTTGCTCAATAACAGCGAATCCATAATTAGTAAAATGTTTTGACGGCATTCTGAGGTAGTGTAAAGGATGAGGTGACTTGGTAAATGGACAAAAAAATTAAACGTCTACATTTTACTCAATTTTTTGTATGTAATTAATCACTGATATGTGGACCTTTATAGAATACTATTTTCAACAAAAATAGAAACGGGATTTGAAAGATATAAATCTTTCATTAGGGTAGGGGTATCATGGTTACATCCAATTCCCATTGCATTTTAACCCCGTCCCACTCTTTGAAGCCCTTAAAATACACGAGCGCAGGTAGGTTCAATTTTCTCCTTCGGCTGGTCACTGTACTTCAGTATTTTATTGAAATCTACCTATATGTGAAAGGAGAAAATTGTTCCAAACTGCGCTCACATGCTATTTTTTTTTTAAAAATTGTAAAATCTAGCTGGCCTTTCCCATTATGAACAGATCGACAGAACTAGATTTTCTGAGTAAGAATAAATTTATATGCTAATCGAGGCACTGGTGATACTTTCTAACTGACCAATCAGCTAAATGAAATTCGTTACGAGTGAGTACATGTTTCCACTATGGAAACATGCTTGAAATTTTACTGCTTTCCGATAATTTTTTATGCATTTGAGCCACAGCTTAGACACGGATCTACATATGTACAATTTCCGAGATCACAGTAAATTTTATATACAGTTACAAACAAATGATAATTATACATTAGTTTAAAGTTTTGTTGCGTGTTTGGTGAGCAATTCGCTAGGTCTAGACGTATTCCCCAGTATCAGTGAATACAAGTTTCATGTGCATTTCTTGTCCTAAAAACCGTAGAGCTGAAAATACATGCGTATTATTAAGTATAAACAGCCTTGCCTGACAATTATAAAAGTTTGAAATGTAGAAAAAGATAACAGGTAAATTGGTCTAAACCACGTGTCTGTGATAAAATGTAAACGTAGTAAACCAGCATGTTTTGTTGTTCTGTCATCAAATTGGACGATGACTATGTGCGAAATAATAACAATAGCCATATGAGGTCTTCTCGGACACGCATAGCTCTATTGTACTAATACCCGCCCATTCTTTTGCCATAAAAGAACATATTCTCACAAACCTGGTCGAATTTAGCTTTGATAGGGTCTAAAAAATCAAAGCAAATGCAGTATTCCTTATAAATAAATTGTGTTTGAACAATTAAAACTATTTAAAAGGCGTGAATTTATTCACTCATATTTGAAAACTATCAACATCGTTGTAGATTAAATATAATTCGTCGTGGAAAAAGGACCCAGATAGCAGTTATGTCATCTCATCCTTTGCGTGTGCACCCACGGTAAACTTTTCAATACTTAACTGATTTCTGCTTTCTCCTTGTCAATGTGCTATGTTGCGTTGCCCATGGACCTCTTGTTGATATATTGCTATTTCTTTTTAAAAATGTTCCTGTATAAATCTATACTAAAAAAGTCCAACATTTCCACTGTTTTACTGACTTGAGAGATGAAAAAAAAAATGAAAGTAAAACTTATCATCACAACAACCAGAAAAGTGATGAAAAGTCCCTTCATCTAAAATTAACGAAAACATACTTAGAGAAATACTTATTTATGGAATGAAGAATGATGATGGATTATTCCATAATCGCATGCATTTTATGTCTACTAACTAAACAACCAATAGAAAATGTTAAAATTACAGATAAGAGGAACGCTACTTCCTGAAACCATAACCATACTACACAGGAACGGGGTAACAATAGAGGATTTTAGAAAAAAGACTGGCTTATCTTTGTCTTACCATAGCACTGGTGCATGTGAAGTGAAGGGAAGCTTGGTTATGATTATAAATGGGAATGAAATTATGAAAGAGTTGGCAGGTGAAGAGTATGAAGCACCAAACCCCTCTACACAGAATTGGGATCAGCCTGCAAACGGATTCCACACCAGACACAGGCTTAGCAAAGAAGTATTCAATAACTTAAACATACACGAAGAAAAGGCACTGAGAGAACTGTTTCTAGATGCAGAATTGCCAATGTGAATATTTTTTTAACTTAACGCAGGTCAAAAAAGGATAAGTGGAACACAGAAAAATGTGAACCCCTTTGAAAAAGCCCTTTCAGAGCTAAAATGTCAAGAAATTCCAAAAATTTCCTTGATTGAATTTCAGGAATTTGAGACAAAGAAATCAAAGGAGATCTGTGTTTCATTTGCAAAAGAGCGACATAGTATTAAAAATCCTTTCAAGATCTCTTGAATTGCTACCAAGGTCCTTGGAAGAGTTAAAAGATTAAAAGATGATTTCAGAGCTAGCTAGATAACCAAACTGATATGTTTGCTGCAGGCCTGCAGCAAGTCTGGTGCAAGCTTGCAGCAAACAAAATTGTTCGCAGGAAGAAAATTTTCTTGTTTGCAGATGATTGCCGCTAGCTGCGATCTTGTGGCAAACATTGCAGCAATTGCTGCAAGCTTGCAGCAAATTCGCAGGAACACAAAATGTTTGCAGGAACATTGCAAGGAACATACACGCCAATATAATGTTCGCAGCAAGTTCGCAGGAAACATTGCATGATTTGAATGTTTGCAGGAAGTTCACAAGAACAGTAAACAAGTCAAATCAGCCAATGAAATGCAGATTGTACTGGGTCAACACAGAGCTGGCCATTTTGAAATGTATGAATTGAAGTTGTACATGTTTCAGTATTTTGTTAGAAATATATACCGTTTTGAATAATCAACAGTGCAAAACTATGGATGTAGGTGTTCATTGGCATCCGTGATATCTAATTGGTAAGTTCTGATGTTGTTTTATTTTGATGTAAAAAAAATCTTAAAGCAATTGTTTAAGTAACTGGTGTAACTGCTATGATAAATATAAATCTATTAATTATGAATTCAGTCCTCATTTTAATATCACATATGTATACTTCTTAAATGTATTAATGGACCCAAATGTTTTCAAATGAATTTGTAACTGTAATCATGGTAATATTTAATCAAAAATATATGTAAAGGTCTTAATGTTCTGTCATATAAAAAAGCTATAATGCACTTGGATTTATAAAAGTATGGAAACTTTGTCTAGAAACATAAAGAGAGCCTATCAAAACTTCATAAAATTGCATCATTTCAGAAACGTGTGGAGGATTTTCTCTAAAATTAACAGATTTAGGTCAGGAAGCTTTCTGTGAACTTGCTGCTTGTATACAGGTCTGTGCCAAAACCATAAGGAAATTGTTTGTTGCAAGTTAGCAGCAATGTTTGCCACAAGCTTGCAGCAATGTTTCCATATATGAAAAATCCAGTGTTTGCTGCAGACTTGCAGCAAACCTCATTTGCATGGTAAAACGTTTGCTGCAAGCTTGCTGCAGACTTGCCGCAAACTTGCAGCAAACACCAAGGCTTTGTATAGAATGTCAAGCTTTCTTAAGATACATTGCCGCAAGCTTGCAGCAATGTCTGCTGCAAGTTTGCAGCAATGTTTGCTGCAGAATTGCAGCAAATATTTGCAGGAAGGCGATATTTTCGGTAAGGCTAGAAGTCATTGTGCAAAGATTTTCCAAACATTGATGGCAAAATAATCACTGAAGGTTAAAAAAGTCTTCTGTAAATAAATACATATTATATTCTCCCTCGTTTCGTTAAGGACAGATGATACAAACAAAAAATGGATGCCTGGATTGGTATATATTTTTTCTTATTTCATTGCAAATGATGCAAATAATAAATTTCTAGAATGTTCAAAAGTCTGCCCTTCTGAAACCATCCTTATTAATCTATACAGTTTTGGTCTGATTTTGATATTACTTGGAACACAAGTAGACTTCACTAAGGTAAAAAATTCTGTATATCGGTTTTTGATTTTAATGAAAGATGTTGCCATGGTTACTAAAAATAGAAATTTCTGTGAAATACTTTCAAAATGCTCCTCCTCCTACAGGTTTGGTCTGATTTCAATATAACTTGGCACACAAGGAAACTACAATAAGATTCATGTTTCTGTGTATCGGTTTTTGAATTAAATGAACAGTGTTGGCATGATTACTAAAATTGAAAATACTGTAAAAGCTTATTAAAAGCTATTCCTACAGCTGTAGTCTTATTGCAATATCTTGCCACAAAAAGAGCTCAATCAAGCATAATTATTCTATTTATTGCTGTTGTAAGGTTTCAAGTCCCAACTGCTACTTTTCTCTTCTTTTTCTGTAAGTGCAAACTAGTACCGCTTCAGTCTGGACAGAGACTTCTGGTTTATGTCATGACCTAACACAAAACAACTTGATTGATCGATTCACATTACAATATCTTCAATTTATTGTAAGATTTAGATTGTTCAGATTAGCTTATTTGATGACAAATAATAATGCATACTTTGTTATCATTTCATTAAGTTCTAGTTTATTTTCTAGGCTGTAACATGTGTGAATGCAACAGTTTCCAAAACTGCTTTAGTGCAGTTTCATAAAACGGGGTTGGATTCTAAGGACATAGCTGAAAACAGTGCTGTTGCGATATCTAATCAAAATGGAAGTCTAGTACTTGAAGGAACTTTACTGGAGATGCAAGTTGCAAGAGAACTCATTAGAAATGCATGTCAACAACAAAAAACGTATAAATCGGGAAAAGAATTTGAATGGAATAAGGAAGGTTCAGGAGAAATGAAGAAAGATATCCTGCAGAGAGATGTCCAGGTACAGAATGATCTCTGTAGCAAGAAAAAAACAAACTCTGAATTGGAACCACAAGAGAAAAAATCAACTGATCCCTTTTTAAGTTCATTACATAAGGATAACACTCCAGGAAGCATTAAAGTTGATCCTAAAATCCAAAAAGAAAATACGTCAAACAAAGAGTGGGAAATGAAACCCCAGAACGAAAATATAGGTGATCATGCTTCAAGTTTTTTAAAAAAGGGTGCTACTTTAAGCATCCAAAATGTTCCTCAAATACCATGTTCTGCAGGAAGCACACAACTAAGTGAGCGAATGGATCAAACAATAAGACCAAAATCAAGAGTTTTTATGTTTGAATTGGAATATAAGATTTTGCAGAGGTCACAACTCATTCCACAAGATATACGAAAAATGGTCAATGTTCCTTGAAAAAGATAATTACAGGGAAATAGTGGGCAATATTGATAAAGTAGAACATTATAAAAAAGCACTTAAAAAAATAAGGAGTATGAATGATGAGAAACTGAACATCGATCAAAAAATGATAAATGTTTTCAAATCTAATGAGAAAAACATAGAGACAATGTTTCCAGGTGTTTTATTTCTTTTGCATGAGAATATGTTGCATTTGATATCCTCAGAAGATCTAACAGACTGCAAATCAAAGGTAGAAAAAATGCTTACATCTCCCCAAGAGGGCACACAGGCTAGAAGACATGGAAGGTCATACAGAAAGGGGAAGGACAACAATACCAGCCATCATTCTAATTCCAAAGTAGAAACACAAAATCCTGCACCTGCAGTGAACATTTCAATAGATACACCAGTGTACAAAAATAAAGACATGTGTGTATATATTGTATACAGAGATATTTTATCAGGGGGGAGAGCTGACTGCTTTGTAAATCCAACAAATGAATATCTTAAGTTGGATTCCAAAGGGGGGGTCACTGCAGCTGTTCTGAAAATGGCTGGAAATGATGTTCAAAAGGAATGCAATGAATTGATGAAAACCAAAAGCAAACTGCAGCCAGCTGAATGTGCTCGAACTGGTGCAGGTCATATGAATTACAAATCCATTATTCATACAAATATCAAACCATGGAAAGATTTTATAAATCGTGAAACTCAAGTTCAGGAAGCGTTGAATCATATTCAGTATGCGGTGAGAAATAGTTTAATTATGGCCGATGGACAGAAAATGAAATCCATAGCGATTCCAGCTATTGGATCAGGTATATTTTTTTCAAATGTGAAATTTTGATTTACTGATTTTTTTAAAGTGTAAGACGTAAATGTGCACACACTTTATATGCAGAATACATAATTATGTAAGAAGAAGGTACGGTTTGGGCTTCATTGTGCCCTAAAAAATTAATGCTCTTAAAAAGTTATGAAATTGGCTTTAACAATAGTTGAGTAGATGAATATGATAAATCATTAAAAAATATGACATGAAGTAGTACCGCCCTGGAACTATGACGTCATTAATTTGGTACATTTCTAAGTTTAATGCAGAAAAGCTTCAAAATGACTCATTTCTGTGCTTATTTTCTTTTTAGAAAATAATGTCTGCCACCGTCGCCCAGTTCAATTTTTGTATATATTATGTAAACTGCTTTGAAAAATCACATCTCTCAAAATATCTCTGGGCGACGGTGGCAGAGTATGTTTTCTGAAAGAAAATTCCACTGAAAATTGATGTCTTCTGCAACTTTTTAATAAAATACTGGAAAATGCACAAGTAATGACGTCAAAATAAGCATTTAGAAGGTCACGCAGCACTGTTAAGGCTTACTATGAGAAATCAACAGAAAATAGAAGTGCAAAAACGGGAATTGTTTTTAAAACTGAATTTATTTTTATTCAGCTGTTCTATTATCACAGAACTTAAATACTTATGGGAATAGCATAGTATAACCTACTCTGTACTGTATGGAGTTTGGTCCAATCGATAGACAGTCACGTGATGAATGTATAGTAGGTACACGGAATGTAGGTCAATTACAAATTTCAATATCGCAAGGGCATACCCTAGTTGAAATTAAAAATTCAAACTATTAATTGTTTCTGCATACTTTGTACTTTCTGGAAAGTGCTGCTGCTTTGAATAGAATTCGCGTTTTGATAGTTATAATTTCAAGTAAATAGGCTGATGTCGAAATATGTTTGACTTTTACCAAATATTTTGTGTACTTATGAAGTCATGCTTTCGATTTAAAGAAAGCAGCAGCACTTTTCAAGTTAAGGAACATATCATTTATCTATATTCAAAAAATGGTAAATATTTATTTAGAGTATGCCCTTGGGAAAAAGCGATTTTATGAGGCACCTCGATGTAAAATATACGTAACCTGAGCATTACAACACGACAGAATTATTTAAATACATTATCTCGATAGTTGATGAATAATCGCACTTAACAAAGGATATACATTGGTATAATTAGCCTATTAAAAACCTGTAAATAATATTCTGTTTTATGATAAAACGCATTTTTCATTGTTAAAAAATTCCGAAATCTGCCTTTCACAGTACATGAAATACGTCATTTTTACCAAAATGACGTCATGATTGACAAGTTCATCGAGATCAGTGATTTGTTTAAAACCAGCTGTATGGGATTTAACTAGCGACATTTTTTAATGCATTGGTAAGTTTTATTGCTGTTTATTATGCTAATACAGTTTAAAGTTGAAAAATATTTCATTTTCGAGTAATATGAGGAATGCATAAAAGTCATATTTTTTGGTGTGACGTCACAGTTAACTTTTCCCGTATAAATTAGGCCCCGCCCCCATTTTCTAGCCTTAACAGTGCTGCGCATATGAGAAAAACGATTTCTTTTTTCTTACTGCATGGAATTCCAATGGATTAGAAGGAATGAATTTTAATTTGTTATATCACTTTCATATTTTAGAAAAATATTAGGCTTAATTTGTATTGAAACTGTACCTTCTTCTTTAAATATTTGCCAATGGGATGAACACTATCAGACGGTAACTTTGGATGCTGGATCTGTCTCACATTTTCTAGATGAGAGACCAGCTTGTTTTGGATTAGCTTTGTAATGCTATGGCCTATTCATGAACAACATTAGGCAAATCACCTGTACATATCAATGGCTGCTCCATCAGTGAAACATACTATGATTTACATATCAATAATTTAATTTTAGTTGTATAACACGTCATTTGATTGGTTTGACGGTTTTATCCATTTTGTATAACATAATTTGCCTACGTCACAATGAGTTACGTCAAAAACGTATTATTCCGCTTGACGTTAACTTTTAAAATATGCCTTTTTTCGAAGGAAAAAATAAAAAGATTGTCTCATTGTCTACATTAAAATTAAATTATAAGGAATGAAGCTTATTTCAAGCGGTTTATAAAAAAGCGTAAACTGTCCCAAGTTATGTTATATCGTATAACAAAAGTTGAAATAAGCTTCATTCCTTAAATAATACGATAATTAATATTTTTAAATCCAACTTTTCAACAAAATCAAAGGTCGTACAACTTGTATCTGTCTATTTGTACCACATGGATTCTAAAATGACACGTGCGTACACAGCAATTTTCAAAAGCAAAATATTACAACTCTTCGAAAAATTAATAATACCTAACATTTTAGCATGCATTTAGGCGAATTTAACAGAATTAAATACAAATGTTTTACAAATGTTGGAATCCAGGAAAGTAAAATCCACCAAATCATTATCTTGGCAAAATGTCAAACAAAATATTTTTCTGCAGTTCTATTACAATTTGCACTACTATATGTCATACTGTAGTTGCATTTTTATGTTGCGTTTACATTGAATTTTTTTTCTTTTAAAGCCACAGAGATACGAGAAATGATAGCTTGTACCAACAAACCTGTAGAGTAGAACCTTTTCGAGCCCTGCGTGAGTGTTTCTGAGACTCCACATCGAAGAAGGGAGGGCATATTGCTTTGCTACTTTCTGTCGGTCGGTCTGTCGGTCCATTTAGTTTCCATTCATTTTCCTCACAACCGTTGCACATACTGAAATGAAATTCGGTATACAGATTTATCAGATGACTATCTAAGTTAAGTTCTGTTTTGGGTACGATCGTGCCATTTTTGACAGAGTTTTGCCTCTTGGACATGGAGGAATTCCACGTATTTGCAGTTTCAGTTCGATTTTCTTATTTGGGTTTGATCGCACCATTTTTGTCAGAGTTATTCCCCTTGGATATGGAAGTATTCCAGTTATTTGCAGTTTCCGTTCATTTGCTTTGCAGAGGTCGCACATATTGAAATTAAATTTAGTATACAGATTTATCTAGATAAAGTTTTGTTTTTGGTAAAATCGCACCATTTCTATCAAAGTTATGCCCCTTGAACTTGGAAAAATTCCAATTTGGGGGATGGGGGCATATTAAGTGTTTTACAAACATCCCTTGTTTTTTTTTAATTAGGAAAGTTTCTTTTCAAGCCTTTTATTTTAAGTTTCTTTTTTGGTAGACTTTGTCAATGTTGCAGGCCTACTGGGCTCTCCTTTCTTACCATGCTGTTTTGTTTATGAAAACTACGCATGCGTGTAAAGCTTGAAAGCTCAAACACATTGTTATGTTCATTATGGGCCAAAAATGATTATTTATTTTAATAGAATAATTAGAATTAATTCTTATGAAACTTGTAATTTTCTAAAAGTGTATACAATTATGACCAGTAAAATAAATTCCAAATCCTCTCAGAATAGTTTTACAAGCCTGTTTTTGATGAGATGCCCAGCACAGTCACTTGAAATGATTTATTTATATACAGACTGGTATAAATATCAACAATAAAATGTCTTTCTTTGGGTGTTAGTACAGGAATTCACATGGATTATGGTGGTTATGTATTTTTTCTGCAACAGCTTCGACATGTCATTAATTTCCATACAACTAGTACATGTAACAACCAAAAAAAGCATTTTATTTTTTAAATTAAGGTAGTCCAATCCTCAGAGTTATAAAATTAGCAGTTAAGTAATCAAAAATACTTATTAAAGTATCTCTGAATCCACAAAGTTATGTCAATTTATCCACAGTATTTCTTTAAAGTAAAAGATTAAAGTAAATCATATTAAAAACTGTCAAGTCTCCATTATTTCTTCAGAAAAAGCGAATTGGAATATTGGCAATGCATTTTGTAATTGCACATTGATCAACAAATATATTTTTAGGTTAAAAACGATAGGTATCCAGCATTCAGAGAAATTGTCATGATTTTTAAACTAATTTGGTATTTTTAGCTCATCTGAGCCGAAGGCTCAAGTGAGCTTTTCTAATCACATTTTGTCCGTCGTCCGTCCGTCGACCGTCCGTCTGTCTGTCCGTCTGTAAACTTTTCACATTTTCAACTTCAACTCAAGAACCACTGGGTCAATTTTGACCAAACATGGTACAAAGCATCCTTGTATGAAGGTAAATTAAAATTGTTAAAATAAAGGGCCAAGTCCCATCACAAGGGGAGATAATCAAGAAAAGACAAAAATAGGGTCGGGTCATTAAAATATCTTCTTCTCAAGAACCACTGGACCAGAAAAGCTGAAACTTATGTGAAAGCATCCTGGGGTAGTGTATATTCTAAATTGTTCAAATCATGACCCCCGGGGGTAGGGCGGGGCCACAATGGGGAACCAAATATTTACATAGAAATATATAGGAAAAATCTTTGAAAATCTTCTTCTCAAGAACCACTGGACCAGAAAGCTGAAACTTATGTGCACATGGAAGCATCCTGGGGTAGTACAGATTTCAGAATGTCTAAATTATGATCAGTGGGGTAGGGTGAGGTCGCAATATGTATTAAAAGGGGAAATTTGGTAAAGAACAGAATGGTCAAAGCTTCTCAGGTTAGCGAGGTGGCCCATGAGCCTCTTGTTTGTCTTCTATTTCCGTCATGTATTTTATAATACATAGTGTAAAAAGACTTTTGCTATCATTGCAAGACACCACAAATTACTTCTCATTTCATATCATGCCAATAAACATTGGTATCTAAGGCTAGATCGAGAAAATCTTATTCCTCTAAAACTGTATTAATTTTTTTCCTTGTATAGGGTACAAATGTCAACTTTTATTAGACCTTTTCAAAGACTTCCAAAAACCTTGAATCTTATAATGATGAATAAAATAAAAATTGTTGCACGAAAAAATTTCATTTTCAAGCTTCATTTTAATGCATTTCAAATTAAACATCATTTTTTGGAGTTATCCTTCCTGGCTGAGGATCAGATAACCTTAACTCTGTTGATTTCCTTACTTTGCGTTTCCCACTTTTGTCAGTACTTCGATTTGTAAAGTCATAGATTTAAACCATACAAAGTTGAGTAAGTTTTAATGAGATTTAATCAAATTTCAAAATGCAATTTTAAAAAAGTGAAAAAAAACACTCTTTTTTAAAACTTTAATAAGAAAATTAAGGATTCATTATTTAAATGAAAACAAGGATATAACTTTTTTCTTTAAAATGTTATTTTTTTTAGGACAATCAGGAATACCACACATATTATGTGCAACTGGCTATAGAATGGGATGTGAATTATTCATGAAGTCAGCAGCAAGCAATTTGAAACACATCTTCTTCATTTCAAACAATGATGAGTTCATGTCGCTGGTTGAGATGACATTCAAAACACCTCTACCTTGGTATTCATTTTGGCCTAAATCAGAAGAGTACACATTCCGTATATCAAAAGGGTGCAGTGTTATTATAGCTCAAAGAGATGTCCTAAAAGAGAAGTCTGTAGATGGTTTGGTTGTGTTGGAAGATCCATTCTTGTTGGGACAAGGAAAACTCGTCAAAGCAGTCATTGATTTAGGGGGAAATGTTTTCTCTAATAACAGGAAAAAACTTATGTCTAAAAACAAACCACCTGGTTCAGCAGTTACATGTAAATGCCAAGCAGTTTGCGACTACAAAACTATCTTTCATATTATAATGCCAGACTGCAAAAAGAAGCCCTGGACTCAAAACGAAGTTTCAGTGTATAAAGACTGCATTTCACAGGCATTATCTTCATCAAAAGAAGAGAAAAGCATTGCAATGAAGCTATTTTTAGGACGTAAGTACTAGTTTTATTTCATTTCATAAATTCCCAGCCTTCTAATCTATAACTACCTAATCTACGTACTTATAATATATTATCAATGATGCCCATCTGAAATGACCTTGCAAGAAATGGTTCAGTAAGTGAATATATTAGTAGGGCACATAAACAGAATAATCTGACCTTGACCCTTTAATTGCTTAAAGACTTTTTCCAAAGTAAACAGGTCGGGACCACTAGATTTTTTGATGTCAGCATAAATTTGCATGTTAATTATGAATGAGTCGCAATGCATTATGGGCTACGGTACTAGTAATCAGTTGTGTTGAAAATAAAGGGCAACATAAATTGTCCCTTGGAAACTCATTTTCAATTCTTTTTTGCTTTATAAAGCCATATATCAACTAATAATTAAATTATACCCCAGGCAACTTGTTATGTGAGGGATTATGCTTTTGACCTGTCCGTCAGCCAGTCAGAGTGTCAGTCAGTCTGTCAGTCCTGTTTTTTTTATCAGCACAACTCCTCATAAACCGCTGCACAGAATTTCATCAAACCTTGCAGACGTTTAGGACACAATGTGTAGATGTGCATATTACCAGTAAATTCTGATTCCTCTATTTTTTCTTGGAATTTCCGCACGTTTTAACTTAGATTTTTGGCCTATCTTGAATATAGTGATGAACAGTTTGTCAGCGCAACTCCTCATAAACCACTGCACAGAATTTCATAAAACTTTGCAGACATTTAGGAAACAATATGTAGATGTGCATATTACCGCGAGATTCCAATTCCTTTATTTTTTTCCGGGAATTTAGCACTTCGAGTTTTGGGGGAGCATTTGGTATGTGAACTTGCTAACTTTTTCTTTCATTTTGTTTGTATTCTAGCCTCACATCGGTTGATTTCCAAAAAAGGAACACAATTATTCTGTACAATCTGGTTTGGAATGGGGACACATCCCCTTGACAACCAGCTGAATCATCTGTATCCATGCAGTCCCCTCATTTCCAGTTCTTGGGATTCATGAAAAATTCTAGGTTTAATAAGTTGCCTTTTACTTCAAAAGTAGCTCGATCTTACCTCATTGAAATGAACATCATGGCTGCTAAGTTTATGTATCAGTTATTACCTCCCATTGTTTCCCATCACTTCTATTGCTACAGTTGTATTATTGAGTGGCAAATTTGAACTCATAATAGGCAAGACAATTTTACATCCACAGTTGTTATACCCCCCGCTTGAAAAGTGGGAGAGTATATAGTAATAGGTATTTCCGTCCATCCATACGTCCGTCTGTTACGCTTTGGGGTACCCACCTCTTATCCGTAACTTCTCTCATACCACTGAAGGAAATTTACTGAAATTTTCACAGATTCTTAATTACATATTGCCATTGTGCACCTCCTATTTTACTTTTTGATCTGACATATATTTTTGATTTTCCAGAGCAAAACATGGACACTGCCATTATATTCATATGGGAGGCGGGGGGTATCATTTAGTTAGCTCATTGCTCACAGTACCTCTAGTTTATTTTAAAATTAAATTACAAGGAATAACTCTAATTCTTGGCCAAATTATTCGAGCATAACCTGGTTTGGGTCAGTTTACGCTTAAACCTGGCTTGACTCACACAAGCTTTTTAAGGTTATATTGAATAATTTGGCCAAGAATTAAGGCCGGTATACACGATGAGATTTGTAGTATAATGCAAGTATTATGATACTTTTGTATTATAATATTTTCCTGTACTCACGCTAATACATATCTTATAAGATTGTAAATAAACTATGTACTCGAACGTGTTTCCCCCGCCATATTTCTCTCTCTGTCAAAGTAATAAAAATGAGGAATGAGGCTGATAGCAGTGTCTATCATCGTACTATGCACTGCTTTATATATTCCACAAGTCCTTTTCCCCTTCCCATTAAGCCTCGAGTTTTTCGATGTCTTTACTTGTAAAGTCTATCATTTTTATTTACCATGTGCTTTTTTTTAGTAATGATAAAAATAGGATGACCCCAAGTGTCATTACAGTTCATTGGTTGAAAGTGATAGGTAAGCTAAGACTTGTATTAGAAAATAGAGCATTGCTCTATTCTTAATACAGTTTTATAAGATTCGAAAAATCTTATGATACACTGTATTAAGAGTGTATACACAGTAAGATTTTGTATTATAATACAAATCTTATAATACAAATCTTACCGTGTATACCGGCCTTTAGAGTCATTCCTTACATAATGCACAAAAATACTTAGGCCTAAACAAGGGTTCAAAGAAACGTAGGTGCTGTCGTGTCAATGAAGCATTTAGAGTTTTTCTCTGTGATATATGTGTACATATAGTGTTAGACAGCAATAACATTAAGGTGTGCAATTATTATTTAACCCATCAATATTAAATTATTATCAAAATGTTTTATATACATGCAAACATCAAAGCGTTTGTAGGGTATTTGAAGCAACTATTAATCATCTTAAATACAACCACATTTATTAATGTGAGAATGGAGCATTGTCTTTGGAATTTAATCTTTCAATTTTTGCATTAAAAAGCGAAAAGGAAGCTCCATTGTTTTTCGGTTTCGAAGTAAATATTATTCAGTTAATAGACGGAAACTATATGTCACTATTGAATCTTCAACACGTACTAGTAAACTGGCATGCTTTGGGAATCATTCAATTGATGATTTGAGAACTGATGTGACAAAAACATCATTACGTATTGAAAATTGCGTTCCTTATAAGGTAGTGTACCTGTCCTGGTAAATGGAGATCTTCATCCATGATCTGAGTAAGAGTGCAATTCAAGATAAAGATCAGTATAGACTTGACCTTTCAGACTGTTTTTTTTTTTTTTTTTTTTTTTTTACATTTTTATCTTCTTCTCAAGAACCTCTGGGCCAATTAAAACCAAACTTGCCACAAAGTATCCTTAGGTAAAGGGGATTCAAAGAACTATATGCGGTATATTGCATATGTTTGCCCCCACAAAAGTCAAATTTTGAAAACTTCCTGAAATGTGCTGAATTCAATAAATTATACGAGAAATATAAGTTAACAGAAAATATTATAGTTCCAGAGCAGTGTATTCACAATTTCTGTTTTTATGACGTCACAAACTAGTCCGATTTTATATCCTTTTTCAGAAAGAGGACAAAATGGACAAAATTTCAACAATTTAAGCTTTAAAATTTATAGAGCGCATGTGTGTTCAGGAACAATATTGACATATTTCATTGATATTATCATTCTACACATTATATCAAAATATTTATCCTGAACACACATGCGCTCGGTGACTTTTATTTAAAATATCGACGAAATATGTACATTTTTCTGCAAAATTCATAAAAAACTGAAATTACGTCATATTTGTGACGTCATTACGTACATATGACGTCATTACTTATGAAATTATTCAGTGCTTTGAAGTCAGCATATACTCCCCTGTTTAAGGACTTAATTAAATATTACTCCATCAAAGTTTGATTGGGCAAATGTTGGTTAATACCGCATATAGTTCTTTGTTCAAATGAAGGGTCACACTCTCTTAAAAAGGGAGATAATTATGATTAAGTGAAAAATTGATTACATTTTTAGGTCACCTGAGTCACTTAGGTGACCTATTGCTATCTGTTTTCGTCAGTCGTCGTACGTCGTTAGTCGTCAATTGGTCGTAAACTTTTGAACATTTTTAGCTTCTTCTCTCAACTATTTTCCACCAAATTTGGCATTAAGCATCTATAGATGATGGGAAACAAAAATTTTGATTTTCATGGTCCCCATCCCCCTGGGGCCTGAGGGGTGGGGCCAAAACCACTACAATTAATTTAAAATTCTTCTTTTTTTACTCCTGGACATCAAGCAGTCAAACTGTTAGCATGAATGTATTGACCATTGAGTCCTCTACCAAACTGGGAAATGATTGGCCCTAGGGTCAGGGGTTCTAGTGCTTTGGCGGGGCTCTATTGATAATAGTGTAAATGCATTGTTTCATGAAAAATCTTCTCTGCTCCTGGATATTAAACTAGAGGTACTGTGAGCGATGAGCTCACTAAATGATACCCCCCGCCTCCACATAGTTATAATGGCAAAGTCCATGTTTTGCTGTGGCCGTGAAACCCAAAATATGTGTCGGATCAAAACGTAAAATAGGAGGTGCACAATGGCAACATGTAATAAAGATTCTGTGAAAGTTTCATCAAATTTCATTCAGTGGTATGAGAAGAGTTGCGGATAAGAGATGGGTACCCTAAAGCGTAACAGACGGACGGGCGGATAGTTATGATGAGGACGAATTGATTATATAGTGAAAATACATTAAATCTTTGAAAATATCCTCTTCTCCTGGGCATTAAATAACCTAAGTATATAGTAACTAGAGGTACTGTGAGCGATGAGCTCACTAAATGATACCCCCCGCCTCCAATGTGGTAATAACTGGTGAAAAAGTCCATGTTTTCCTCTGGCCGGGAAACCCAAAATATGTGTCGGATCAAAAAGTAAAATAGGAGGTGCACAATGGCAATATATAATAAAGATTCTGTGAAAGTTGCATCAAATTTTATTCAGTGGTATGAGAGGAGTTGCGGATAAGAGATGGGTACCCCAAAGCGTAACAGACGGACGGACGGACAGACGTACAGACGGACGGAATTAACGATAACTATATACCCTCCCGCTTTTCAAGCGGGGGTTATAATGATGAGGAAGAATGCCTCTTCCAAAATAAATTTTATGGCCCAAGGGTCAGGGGTTCTGGTGTTAGGGCAGGTCTCTATTGATTATATATAACAATGTATAATGAAAATACTTTAATTCTTTGAAAATGCTCTTATCTGCTCCTGAGTATTAAACAAACTAACTATGTATATAGTAATGATGAGTAAGAATGCCTCTTTCAAAATTGCGAATTTTATGGCCACAAGGTCAGGGGTTCTGGTGTTAAGGCGGGGCTCTATTGATTATATAGTGAAAATACATTAAATCTTTGAAAATTTTCTTCTCTGCAGCAATCCTGGGTATTTAGCAGATGAGCTACCTAAGATATAGCTATGATGAGCAAGGACCATTCTGCCTGAATTGTGAATTTTAAGGCCCCTGGGTCAGGGGTACCATAGAGGGGGGTCTACTTATATACTGAAAATGAATTATTGTTTGAAATCTGCTCCTTGATATTAATCAAACATTTTTGATAAGCAAGGGTGCCTTTTCCAAAATTGTTATATGTGTGGACCATCAAATCATAACCCTCAAGGGTAGAATGGGGCCATAATGATGGATCAAAGTTTTACATAGAAAAATAAATGAAAAATCCCAAGAACAGAAAAGCTATGTTTAGTGATATTGACATGTAAGCATCCTAATGTATTGAAGATTTAAATTTCTTCAAATCATGGCCCTTTGGGGTAGGGAGGGAAACAATGGGGAATCAATTTCAAATTATTACAAAGTAATATATATAAAGAAAATGTTTAAAAAATGTCTTTTTATCAAGAATAGCAAAGTCATATGCTGTATTGATATGAAGGCATTCTCAAGTAAAATTAAAATTCAAGCCCCTCCCTCCCCCCTCCCACCCCAGTAAACTTTTTAACTCTGATCTGAATTCTGCTTTTTCCTAGCCGATTTGCTCAGATGAGCGATGTGGCCCCTGGGCACACCTGTTATCACTTATTACAAAAACTCAAAGAATTGATAGCATTCATATGCTTTTGGCATGTTAGCAGGTGAGATGTCATTGTATGGCATATTGTTTCAAATATGAACACCCTATCATATGTCGTTCAAAAGTAATCACCAAAGTTTTTGAAGATTAAGTCAAAATTGTAGGTCAAAGGGTATTAAAAATCATAGCTTGCTCAGACACATCTTGTCACAGGTAATACACATGACAAATATGAAGGTAAGTCAATCAAAGGTATAAGGAAACTACATTTTTAAAAGTAGGTCAAACTACAAGGTCACAGGGTCAAAAAATTATAGAAAGGTCTGTCACTGGTAATATATATGTACAATGTGTACTAGGAAAGCCTTATCTGTTCTATTTCAAAAGCTATGATCAATTTAAGGGCAAGGCTATATAGATTAAATGTGAAAATGCATTATTTCTCTGAAATTCTTCTCTGCTTCTGTGTATCTAATACACAAACCAAAGACACAGTTATGTTGAATAAGGCTGTCTCTTCTAAAATTATGAATTTCATGGCCCCTGGGTCAGGGGTTCTCTTGTTATGGTGGGGCTCTATTAAAAGTGAAAATGCATAAATTCTTTGAAAATCTTCTCTGCTCCTGGGTATTAACTCTTAACAACTTACTGAACTGTTATACAACATACACTAAATGTTCACGTCATAGAAATAGAAATTTACCACTTCCCCGCGAGCACCTTTTAGCGTGGTACACGTTTCTCTAAAGTTTAGCGTAAATAATATTATGACGCTATATTTTAATACAAAATGACTTTTCTTCTTTGATGAGATTTTTGCAAGTATAAAATAGAAGGAAATTGGCATTAAATTAAAGATTAAATGAACTTATCAAAATGCGTGAAAATGCGTGATTGCGGGGAAACGGTATATGTGTGATTTTGCGTTAGAAATAGGAAATGGTATATGCGTTAAAATGCATGACTGCGGGAAAGGGGGTTAAACCAGTGAACTATGCACAAAGTTATAATAAGGAAGGATGCCTCTTCCAAAACTGTGAATTTCATGGTCCCTGGGTGTTGGGAGTTCTGAGGTTAGGGTGGGGCTCTATCGATTACAAAGTGAAAATACATTAGCTCTTTTAAAATCTTCTTCTCTGCTCCTTGGCTTTAAATAAACTAACCAAGTATATAGTAATGTTGAAAAAGGTTGCCTTTTCCAAAGTTTTGAATTTCATGGCCCCGGTGTCCGGGGTTCTGGTGTTAAGTTGGGACTCTATTGATTATGTAGGGAAATTACATTACTTCTTTCAAAATCTTCTCCTCTGCTCCTTGGTATTAACAGTGAACTATATACATAGTTATGATGATATGTATACATACCTTTTTGCCATCAACCTTGGAGTTGACAACATTCATGGAAGTGAGCTCTGTAATCTCTGATAACCTAATTAAGTTTATTGATTTATTCCAGGAGCTTCTAATGATGTTGCAATGTACCTTGCCAAAGCATTGGTGGAAACTGTAACTGAATATATAAAGAGCAACAGAAGTTCATCACTTCAGCAGATTCGTATTTTGAATATGGACCCTTTTCGACATGGATTGGTTAAAAGGGAACTTGTACGATTTACAAAAGAAGCCTGTAATTCCAATTCCTATTTAGAAAAAGCAATTTTTGTGAATGCTTATCTTGATCCCCAGACTGACCAAAAATACGTACCAGGCACTCGGGTTTGAAACATTTCAAGAATATATTGAAAGCAAAATAACTGAATTTTTAAAAAAAGAAATTTCAGTTTTTATAGTTACACAAATTAATTTAATGTGATTTTGATCTTAGACATATCTATACATTAATGCACATTTACTTTTTACTAACATTTTAATGTTAGATTAGAGCACAGGGAGCTAGGAGTTTGTGAATGGAATGCTGGTTTTAACAAGATTGTCCTCTCTTTAAAGGGGGGGGGGGGGGGATAAGCACCTCCCTCAAATTTACCTGGTATTAGAACCCTT